TCCTCATTGACAACTCTATCATCTCTTCTGACAGTGACATCAAACAAACCTTCTTTTCTTTCTTCTCTAACCTCTTTGAGCAACCTCCAGTATCCAGTCTATCCCCTAACTGGGGCATTCTTTACCCAGATGAAAACTTTGATCTCTCTTCTTTAGACCTTCCCTTCACCCCTCAAGAAATCTCAGAGGCAGTCTTTGGACTTCACCCTGATAAATCCCCGGGGCCCGATGGATTCCCCATCCTCTTCTTCCAGAAATTTTGGCATATCGTTCAAACAGATGTAATTGATTTTATCCAAGGTTTATATTCTCAACCTCATCTGTTACACAATATCAATTTCTCTCATATTTGCCTTATCCCCAAGAAGGAAGGTGCCCTCTCACCTAAGGACTTTCGGCCTATTCGTCTCATTAATAGTTCGTGTAAGATTTTCTCTAAGATCTTGGCAAACAGACTCAGAAAAGTCCTTCACCTCCTTATTGACAATTCTCAATCAGCCTTTCAATCTGGTAAATCATCTTTAGACTCCTTTCTCCTTGGCCATGAGATGATTAATTTCTGCTCCTCGGGGAAAAAAGGAGATTTGTGCCTTTAAGGTTGATTTTTATAAGGCTTTCGATTGTGTAAATTGGTCCTTCCTTCAGTCTCTTCTAAAAGTCAAGGGTTTTGGTCCTAAGTGGTGTCTTTGGATCCACTCCATTCTATCCTCTTCTAAATCAGCCGTTCTAGTAAATGGCTCCCCAACCAAATTTTTCCGATGTTTTAGGGGCCTTAAACAAGGCGATCCTCTATCCCCTCTGCTTTTCTTGCTGGTGGCAGATGTTCTTAGCAAACTGCTCAAATGTAGTGCTCAATCGGGGGATTTATCTGAATTAAACCTGAAAGGGCAGCTAAATAACATCAGGTCTATCCAGTTTGCGGATGATACCATTATATTCTCTAGGGCTTCCCCCTCTGACATGGTTACACTCAAAACTATTCTCTCGATCTTCGCTAACATTTCTGGTCTGTGTGTTAACCCCCTCAAATCAAACCTTTTTTACCTTGGTAAAACTCCTCGCAAAGGCAAAATGCTAGCCGAGATTCTCAAATGCTCTGTCGGCTCTCTTCCGTTCTCTTACCTGGGTCTCCCTCTTAAAAGAGGATCTCTTTCCAAAAGAGAGTGGCAACCTCTTCTAGAATCCTTCAACAAGAAGCTCTCGCTATGGAAAAACAAATCTCTTTCAATTGGTGGAAGGCTAACTCTCCTAAATTCAGTCCTATCTGCTCTTCCTCTCTACTTCATGTCCTTTTTTAAGCTGCCGTAGTGGCTTACAAAGGCCATAGACAAAATCAGAAGAAACTTCCTATGGAATGGAAGCCTCTCACATTCGAGTATTAAATGCTTAATTAGTTGGAGGAAAGTTTGCAAGTCAAAATCTGAAGGAGGCCTGGGGGTCCTTGACATTGAATCTTTTAACAGAGCCCTCCTATCTAAATGGTTGTGGAGACTTTTTGAAAGAGAGTCCTTCATTAGTAAAGTGGTTTTCTCTGTCTACTCCAAAGACAGTTCAAATCCTTTTGCTCATCTCCCAAAGTGCTCGGCATCAAAGTTCATTCTTGACTTATCCTCCATTAGCTCCACTTTTTTCAGCTTGGTTAAATGGAGAACTGGGGATGGCAAAACTGCAAGTTTTTGGCACGACAAATGGACTGGGACAAACTCCCTTAGCAGCTTATTTCCTAAAGCTTTCCAGTTAGCCCTATCTCAGGACAAATGGACTGGGACAAACTCCCTTAGCAGCTTATTTCCTAAAGCTTTCCAGTTAGCCCTATCTCAGTCCTGCAGTATCAGATCTCAGGGCAGAATGATCAATCTTTCATGGAATTGGCACCCCCTTACCAGAAGAGGTATATCGCCATTAGAAAGGTCTGAACAAAACCTCCTCCTCACTCATTTAACTTCTTCAAATATCAATATTTCTGCTACTCCAGATGAGCTTATGTGGACCCTTCTTCCATCGGGGTTTTACTCTGTTAAATCATTCTACTCCTTTGTCAAATCTGGGGGTATTAAATCTAAGTTTTATAGCATGATTTGGAGATCTTCCATCCCAAATAAGGTAAAAGTTCTTTTCTGGATCATCACAAACAAGAAGTTAAACACGAAGGGAAATCTGATTATTAAGGGCTGGACATGTGATCCAAGATGCTCCTTTTGTTTATCTGAGGTTGAAACTCACGATCATCTGTTTTCCAAATGCCCATTTGCACGAGCTATTTGGTCACACATCTTCCCCTCTATTCACACAAACAGTTGGCCTCAGTCGGTGGAGGAATTGATATTTTTTCATAAATCCACCTTTCTTAGCAAGGATGCTAAACTCATCTGGAAGATAGTGGAGGAATTGATATTTTTTCATAAATCCACCTTTCTTAGCAAGGATGCTAAACTCATCTGGAAGATACTATTGCCCTGTACTTGCTGGTGGATTTGGTTTAGTAGAAATGCTCTCATTTTCAAGGATGAACAACCTGATTCTCTACTTATTGCTTCTAACATAGGGAGATATTCTATATTCTGGACAGGTGCTGCGGATGAGAGGCTGGAAAGGAGACTTCGCAGGGCTGCCCTAAGTACTGGACTTCAGGAGCTGGCAAACAAGAGGGCTGATGCATCTGGGGATAGTTTCCCCCATGCCCTCTAAATTTTCTCTTTCACTTTTCCTGATGATGAAGATACATTACCTTTTTGTTGGTTATCTGTTGATGTTTAGTCCCCCAATCTAAGCTTGTTATGTTTCCATGTATGTGTTAAGTGAACTCTAGTATGTAAGTATGTAATATGTGCCGTCTAGATGAAGCTCCGCTGTGAGTCCAGTTTGGTAGGTGACGACATAGGTCCACTCCTTACCTGCTGCACCCTACGTGGCTCTTCACCTAGCTGTGATGTTTGCTGTTTATTAATAAAATCTTTATATGAGCAGGGTTTCTAACCCTGCTTTTTCTGCTCAAAAAATGTATAGTTCTTTTTTAGTTCTAACTGTTAGATATTTTTGGTCAAAACTACTTTCCAAAAATGAGTTTTCAAACTATGTATTTATTAATTACTGATATTTTACAGAAATCCTTAGTAGCGTAGCGAAAAGTTAAAGTTTTGATATCTCAAAGGTCCTGTGTTCGAGGCTTGCCGCAAGCCAAGAATTGTTTTTATTTAATTAATCCCTCATAAGTTCTAGTGGGTCATGGGCTATGAGCTCGTGGGCTCGTGAGCCGTAGCCCAATGGGCTGGGGATCGGGGCTAATCTGGCTGAGGCGCTAAGTGGCGCTTTGTTAGGTACACTTTGCACTTCGCACGAAGGCATCGGGGCTAGGTGGCGCCACGCAGGACTGCATTACAGTCTGCTTCGTAACATGCGGACGAGCCTCGTGTTCGCATGAGGGTGCTACCCTCACGTTCACAAGAGGCAACGTGGCCCTCATGTTCACGCGAGGCTGGACGTGACCCTCGTGTTGCGTAGGATCGCGACCATCGTGTTCAGACGTTACTGCATGCAGCAGTTATAATATTTATGTTATTTGCCGTTACAAATATAGTTGTCATTATGTTTCCAACAGTCAAATTAAACGTGGGTAACTTTTGAGCTGGTCTTAGAGGCCTATATATAGTGCCTCTTCGGGAGCCCTTGGATACAAGAGATAAAAAAAAGAGATACGAAAAACACACAAGTATTTAGTGCTGTTGTGCTGCTGCTGTAGAGTCTGAAAGCGTGAAAACTTTAGTCTGTGCCCAAAGGAACATAGCTCTGAACGGAAAGTTTTTTACAGATCGAGAAGATCTCTGCCTGAACCGAAAGGTTATTGAACTGAAAGGTTTTAACAGATCAAGAAGATCTTTGCTTTGACCGAAAAGTCTTATAGATCAAGGAGATCTTAACAGTACTAGGTCGGTGCACACCAGAGTACTGTACTGCTGTTTCTAAAAGCAGTTTGGCCTTAGGATCCTTGCACCGGAGTAGGCTAAATATTGCTTTAAGCAGAGCATTTCATAAACACACAACATCTAAACTTAAAAAAAGTTTTAAATTACATCATTTTAGTTCTCACTGTTTTATTATAGATTTAGCCACAGATGCCAACAATCTTAAAGAATTTTTCTGATCTACAATGGATCCTGCGAGGAAACTTGGAGTGGATTGTCTCAAGTTAGAAAACTTTAACGGATCCAACTTTAACGCATGGCGTCGAAAAGTAATTTTTGGGATGCAACTCCTGAAAATCTACTATGTCGTTTTTGAGGAGAAATCCGACTTTGAAGAAGATTCTGAGTCAAAAGCCTCTTGCTCTAATATGATCATTTATGTAGGAGTTATCTCCTTAACTGTCTGGCCGATCATCTGGCAGATGCATCTGGCAGATGCTTACACCAACAAGCCCTCTGCAAAAAAAAAAAAAAAAATCTAGAATGCTCTAGAAGACCAATACAAGGATGAGGAGAAGCTGTCCAAGTCTCACCTCATTGACAAGTTTTTAGACTTCAAATTCGAATATGACACTGAGTTTTTGCCTCAAGTCAAAGAATTTGAAAAGCGTGTTATAAAGCTGAAAGATGAAAATATCAATCTTTGTCAAACCTTCATTTCTGGATCAATTGTCAACAAGCTTCATCCATCTTGGATGTCATTCTCCACTGATATTGAGAGAAGGAAAAGGTAGGTGACTCTGTCTGATTTGAAGAGGTTCATTCGGATTGAGGACGAGATTCGGATTCGTATGAAGAATGAGTTCCTTGCTAAGAAAAAGGCGTCTGCTAACATGATGACTGCTAACTTTGAGAAAGGTACTGGACAAGCAAATATCCACCTAGGATGTAGTATCATAGACGGATTACAACCGCCTACAAAAATCCATCAAAAATGTATGTATTGCAGATGGACTTGCTGTTGCGGATATGATTCCAAGCAGCTTTTTAAATTAAAATTGGACCTACATCCTAGACTGATCCGTCTAAGATGTTAGAAATAATTTTTTGGGCAGTTCTTTTTTGGTGAAAAGTGAAATTCGCCCACTGTTTTTACCTTCTCACTTCAACTTTACCTTTTCACCAGATCTGGCTCATTGCATCCCCGGCGATTCCTCACTGCTCGTCGAAGGTTGTCATTTGCCTCCGTCGTCATAGCTTGTCAGTGCTACTCGTCATCGAAGTCGACGAAGGTCGCTGCTGCTCATTGTCTTCGAAGTGGTCGAAGGCTAGCTGCCGCGCACTGCTGCTCGTCATTGAAGTTCATGGTTGAAGTTTGTTGCTTCTCATCGTCAACGAAGTGGTCAAAGGCTGCCGTTGTTGCTCGTCGTCGAACTAGTCTATGGTCGCCGTTGCTCGTCGTTGTCGAAGTGTGCTATTGCTCACTATCGAAGTTTGTCATTGCTCTTGAGTTGATCTCATGGTTGAAGGATTTCCGTTGAAGGTTGCTGCTTGTTTGAGAAAAAGGTAAGGTTCACACACACCGCCTACCCGAAACACCCAAAACCCCCCTAATTATTCATCAATAAACACCCAAAATAGTCCTAATTAATCATCAATATCAACCCTAAATGAGTAATCCTTAACCAAGATCTAACCCTAATCAACTCTATTTACTAATCCTTACTCGAAATCTAACCCTAACATTAATTATCCCTGAAACTAATTTAAAATCAACAAATCTAGCCCTAATTAATTTAATTAGGAAAATTTCATAATAATCCTAACCCTAAGTGGCTGATCCTTAACCAAGATCTAAACCTAATCAATGCTATTGACTAAATCTAACCCTAAATCCGAAATTTAAACCTAACATTAATTCCCTCTAAATTTTTAAAAGTCATAAACCTAGCCCTAATTATCATAATGAGTGTGATTATGTAATAATCCTAACCTAATCAAACTAATCCTTAAAACACTAATTACATATATTTTTAATTCCAAATTTAAACATTAATTAATGGAAACACTAATTACATAAAGCTAACCCTAATTAATCCAATGAACCTAACCCTAATTAATTAAATAAACATAACCCTAATTAATCGAACAAACCTAACACTAATTATGGTAAGCTTAGGCTACCTTACTCCTACCCTTAATCATTGGAATACTATAGTTACATATAATTTTTAGTTCCAAATTTAAATATTGATTCATGGACCAAACCCTAACCCTAGCTAAGTCTAACACTAATTACATATATGTTCTAATTAGGATAATAACTCTAATATGAGCCTAGCCCTAATCTATTAATCCTAATTACCCAAAATATGCTAATTACCTCTCTAGACCTAGCATCAATAATTACTCTACTCCTAGTTGATCAAATTAGGCTAATTACCATAAAAATCCTTATGACATTAGACTAATTACTCTAATAACATAATAACATTATTAAGACTAACTTTGACCTAATAACTCTAATAGCACTAATGACACTAAATAAAACTAACTTTAACCCTACTTACCCAATCAACTATATATATGTGCTATGTGTGTGTTTAATAAGTTTGTTCCTGATATGTAAAAGCATGATTTAATCAAACAAAGTTTTTCAAAATTAGTGTGATATATAACACAATAATGTTAGCTTCAAATTTAAAAAACTAAGTATGTTGTCCATATTTAACATATAGGATGAGGGTATAAAATAGTTATATATTGTGTCGGTCCCAAATTAACTCGATGAAATATGATATTCATTCTTTTTGGAGTTATGCAACCTAATATTCAATTTTTAATTTTTTAAGATTACCAACTTTACCACCATATATACATGACATGCAACTTAAGTTATAATAAGTTGTACTTGTGAGGTTTAACATGACGTGTTTGAATTTTTTTAAAAGCATGAATAACATGGATAAAACATTAAAAAAAGGGTTTTCTTAAATAATAGTATAGATTAGAATATTTTGCTAAAATTTTCATGCTTCCAATACGTAACTGTTTATTCTAAGGCTACAGATCCTGTGGAGAGCAATAATGGCATGAATGAGAGGCACGCAGCCAGGGAAGATGATCAAGAAGAGGAGGTTAAGCTTAGTATCTAAGTGTTTATTTTCTATCTTTTCTGTCTTGTGTGTCTGAGATATTACATTATATGTAGGAGCCTTAAAATTTTTCTTGACTATGATGGATTTCTCATTTCATGACTTATTATCTATGTGTGTATGATGGATTTATTGGGTTTTAAAACTATGTGTGAGATTGAAATAATTGTTTAAGTGATGAACCATTATGCAACAGTTATTTTAAATTTTTATTAGTTAGTGGATTGTGTTGTGAATAGGTAAAATGTCAAATTTGAGATTATTAGATATTCCGTTGGATGTGGATATTGATGGATGGAAATATGAATGTGGTGGATATCGAAAATATTTGATATGGATGTGATGGATATTTGAAATAGGCTTATGCAGGTCAAAAGCATGGTAGAGGAAATGCAAATCTGTTGCTGGAAATTCATATAAAATATCTTAGACGACAATGTTATCTAGGATACTACCCAGTATGGTATAGCCATCTAGGATGTTGTTACACATCCTAGACGGCTATGCTGTACTGGGTGGTATCCTAGACAGCGTCTAAGATAAGTGGCTGTCTGTGATGTGTTTTGTAGACGATGAAGCCATCAGTGGTGTGGCATCCTAGACGAATTTATTGTCAACGGCGTATCCTAGGTGGACGGTCGTCTATGATGGTTATCGTAGACAGTTTTGTGATGCATCCTAGATGGTTTTGTAATCAACAATGTTTACCATCAATGATGGGTCTTGGCCATTGATTGTGTCAAGGCCCCATTGATGGTGAGAAGCCTCATCGATGGTTGAGAAGCCCATTCAATGATATAAAAGTCTCTAGAGCTAAAATCATCAATGACATATGTTGAGCATAGATGAGCTCTTCTTACCATTGATGGTCAATGCTTACCATCGATGATAGAACGACTAAAATCAACTTATGAGCTAATTATCGCATTGTACGCCTCGTACACTTCTTATACATGTATTTACTTATACTATATCATCTCAAACCAGTATTAGTATTAATATGTGGGAAATCCAACGCAAGGTGTTGGACATTGGCAAAGCTTGTTGGTTCAAAAAATATAATTGAATTTTACACGGTTTCTAGCTAGTACACGGTTGCCATTGGTGATCAATTTTTAGGGGCTTGACAAGTGTCAATGTCCTCAACTAATGACCTAATGCTGAATTTTTGTGGCTTTGTATCTTCTATAGTCTGTGGATTGTTTTTTGTCATCAAATGTGCTGATTGAAAAGTATATTGGAAAGCTCTCAACACATACTATGGAAGCTGACATGTTCCTTGAGTAGTTTAAATGATGCAATACGAAAGTAAAACCTCACAATTTGCTAATGGGTGTTATACAAATCCATGAACAAGAATGTTTGAATCCACGAAGAAACAACATCGAATCCATGAATTAATATAAAAGGAGGAATTTTATTATTCAAAAAGTAATTACCTTTGTTTACAATCATCTACTTAAATGTAAAAAAACAACATAAAGACTCTTAATACGATTGAAATTAATAAAAGTATGTTTAAGAAAACTCTTCAGTCAAATCTGAAACCAAAATAGATTTGTTTCCTAATCCAAATAAACTTCAACTTCATTACCAAAAGAACATAAAGGCTGACTATTTTCAAAATTCTGACAAATACGAGTATTTTTAATATAATTTCTAAAATTTGCCAATCTGGATGGTCTCCATCACGTTGGGATGCCTAAAAACATATATATTATGTTCAAGGCTTTTGATTGGGAGACATTGTCTTTTTTTCATGTGTAAGTAAACGACTTATCTTGATCCACATTTAACTAGTAACAATCCCATCATTCTATGAATTTGTTTGTTATGTATCCTATTCCTACATCACTAAGCATACCATAATTATAAAGGTTGATGCGTGATAAGCTCGAATAGATGGAAATGGAGGCACTCCGGAATCTATAAAAAGTTTAGTCCACTAATGTTTTTAAAGGTTAATTTGCCCACTAATTAGAAAACAAGATCTGATATGTTATCCTTTCAATTTGGACAATGGGTAATTCTCGTCCGTGAATCAAAAGGTGTGGTGAAAACATAAATATATTCTTCTGAAGTAACAAATTTTAGGAGACACGGAGACATCAAATCACATCCCTTAATATTGATTGGTGACGTGTACATTTATTATAAGTTTATTATGAAACCGGAGTATGTGGCTCTATTTGCCCTTTGCTGTTGATGTCCCATAAGTCATAGTAATCTTTAATTCAAGCCAATGTGTGTTTTGTTCAATTCAAGCGGAGTCATGCTAACACATCTTTTTTGAGTGCCAATATTCTGCTAATGTTTGGAATAAAGTGATGGAATGGATGAAGTTTAATTGGAGATCATGCTCATGGGACCTGATTATGAACTGGTTCAACCGGAACTTGAGAGGAAGAAGTTATCAATTGGAGATCATGCTCATGGGACCTGATTATGAACTGGTTCAACCGGAACTTGAGAGGAAGAAGTTATAAAAAGAAATTGAAGAGTTCAACCGGAACTTGAGAGGAAGAAGTTATAAAAAGAAATTGAAGAGAATTGCACTATCTGTGTCAGTGTACATGCTATGGAAAGAGAGGAACTTCAGGATTTTTCAACAACAAAGAGCAACAAGAAGCCCTGATCGACTCACTCTTTTGTGCAATCAAATTCAGTGTATATAAAAAAGTTCTGAATGCTAGATTTCCACAACATATATTACAGTTCATAGAAATCCTGTCATAGAGAAGACTGGATTTTTAAAATCAGTCTATTGATTTGTTTCTTTGATATGTACAAAACCTTCCATACTTGGTGATGAATAAAATTTACATTCATTTACCAAAAAAAAAATCTTTAATTCGCTAGAAAATGAAAAGCATGTACAGGTAGAATTATATTGCGAAGGATATTGAATCAGGACTCGATTTAGTTGAATGATTAGAGCATAAAAGCATGACTGCGAATTTCTGTAGCCACACAATTTCAATGAATACGTATAGTGCAGTGCGAATTCGTAGAACCACCAATTTGATGCTGCCCCATGCCTGTTGGCATCACCGTAGCACACGCGTCATCAGCATGCACTAAACCTTAATTCCATTAGTTACTGCACAATTCAATAATTATTATTGAATTAATTTTTACTATCGAAAAGATATTTAGATTAATTGCATGTGAACACACTTATTATGGGGATTAAGTCATTTATACTCTTCATTATTTTACGCGATCCTAGAGCTAGGCTTAACCTACTCTGACCATGTGCGAGGCAAAATCAGTGGAGCTTCAAACTTGTCGGTATATTGGGCTTAAGACTAGTCATTTCAAAGCTCTTGCAAAATCATCATGGTCAATTGGCTAAGATTATTGAGGGTGCAAACCAATTAATCAAAGTATAGAAACACAAAAAAGAAAGAGAGAACGCAGCACGCCTAGCCAATAAACTAGGATTTTTTTTTCCTCAAAAGCTAATTGACTACACCCAAAAAAAAATCTTTCATAGACTTGAAAATAAAAGAAAAGGAAAAAAATAATATTTTTTTTACCAAAAATAGAAACTATCGTAAACTAGAAAATATCCATATACTAGAAATTAACCATGATCCTCCATATCAAATTTCAGCCGAAACAGAATTTGTTTACTTCTTCAAATTGGACGGTCAAACCTGTCTAAAATAGAAATAAGAAAAGTTTTTACCATGATTTTGAGGCCAAAAACGATGAAATTTTATTATTTCGATGGACGTTAGTTTTGTAGCCTTTGACGTCCCAGTTGACCTTGTCAATTTTCAAGAGTTTCGAAACAACTGACTGGTCAATATTGCGTGATCCGCAAAGTTAATTTGAAATTATGATGATTTTGGGTCCTATAAGGTCAAACTGATCCATATAAGCTATAAGGCTATCTCTAGGACTGAGTCACTTTTTTTATCACATATTCCCCCTTGAATTTTAAACAAATGTTATATTCATCCATTTAAATTGAGATGTCTTGTGAGAAATGTGACCATAAGCTATATTTTGAAGAAATTAAAATTGAAGGAAAAGGTATTCTGACGTCATATATGATTTATGAATACATCTGCCTAACAGAAACTAACAAAATCGTTCAGGGGGTATAAATGGCTGCACTCTGAGCATCAATGAGGTGCGTACGCAATTAACTCTTGTTTTTAAATAAAACCCTATTGTCGCATCCCAGAATGCATCAAACCCGATCGAGGACCCCAGTGATCCATATATACTTTCTAGATTTCCCATTATGCGTGTCTTTGTAGCTAAATTAAACTAGTAGTGCCGAGCTAGCTAGTGGGCATCTCTCGTTGTTGGACGATCGATATAAGTAGGTGCCAATACGATCCTTCGACCCTCACCAAGGTTTCAGTTTTCTCTGAAGAGAATAGGGCCGGCCGGCGACGACATTAATTACATATGGCTCGGTCAAGAGGTGGTGAGGACGGCGAAGCCGTACCTGGCTATGACGTTCTTGCAGTTTGGTTATGCAAGCATGATGTCATATCGCTGGCGACCCTCAGGCAGGGATGAACCATTACGCTGCTCGTCGTGTACCGGAACGCTGTGGCCGCCGCCGTTATGGCACCGTTCGCGTTGTGGTTTGATGAGGCTCTCTCCCTCGCTCCATGAAATAACACTAGTCACATCTTTTCTTTCTTTCTTAATTACTGTTTTATTTTTCACTTCAGTAGCCTAGCTAGATGTTGCTAGCTAATTTTCGGATTTTTGATATCCCGAAGCTTTTCTCTGACATTTTTATACCGCTACGCGTCAATGTCATTTCAAGCGCACCTTTTTAATAGAATTTATCACGTGATACGTTTAATTCGGTCAATTATATATGTCTCATTGAAAATAATCCCCCCTGCAGATTTGTGAGTTCATCTGTTTAGCAAGCAAGAGCTGCTCGACTCGCCCCCACTTATACCTGCGCAATTTCTGTTTGTCTATAAAATGTGGTGGGGTGGGGTGGGGCCGCCGGGGGGGGTATTTTCATCAGATATATACGTATATAACATGAACTAAATGTATCGTGTGGATATAATTAATCTAAGGGGAAATTGCTTCTATTCCAAAATTTCCAATTCGAGTATTCCGCCTCACCACGACTTTTTTCAACGCTCCTAAAATCCCAAAAGTAAAGCGATAACCCCTTAGCCCCAACCCCAAAACACAAAACTCAAGTGATTAAAAATATGTGAAGACCATAATATCCTCTCTCTCTCTCTCTCTCCCTCTTTCACATGTTATTTTGTGATGACTTAAAATGGGTGGTTTTTTTTTTGGGGGGGGGGGGGGGGGGGAGGGGGGGCATTTCTACTTCCTCCAAAAATTTCCAACGCGTCATCCATCGGCGGTAATACTTTTCCAGCGTTTGTTCATGTGGCGAAGAAAAAGTCTTAGGGAAAGGAATTTTTCGACGGACAATACTTGTAAGGAAACAGCGGGAAAGTTTTACCGACGGGAAGAAAACAATGTTCGTTCATCGGTGAAATACTTGTTAAGGAAATCGATGAGTTGAGATTAAAATAGAGTATGTGAATTTATATATTATCGTTATTTCACTGTAATAAGTTTGTTGTTAAGCTTATGAGTTGGTGGTGAAAGAAGGTTACATGTTGGTTTAATTTGAAGGTTACGGGTTGGTTGTGAAGGTGTTACGGATTAGTTGTGAAGGTTACGGGTTAATTAGTTGTTAAGTTTACGGGCTGGTTGTAAAGGTTATGAGTTGGTTGTGAAGGTTACGGGTTGGTTGTGAACCTCAGTAACCTTCACAACCAACACGTAACCTTAACAATCAACCCGTAACTTTAACAATCAACGCGTAATCTTCACAACCAACACATATCCTTCACAACCAACCCGTAACACCATCACAATCAACGCGTATCCTTCACAATTAACCCGTAACCTTCAGAACCAACATGTAACTCCCAAGACAATCTCTTTTCTCCCTTCTTATTCTTCTTCTTTACAAATTTGACGAAAAAAATGAAGCAACAAAACTGTTGCTCATCATCATCATCATCTTCTCCTCCCCTCTCCTTCCCCTCCCTCTCCTCCCTCTCCGCCTTCCTAAAATCCCACATCCCCTCCGACTCCCTCTCCTCATGTGGCCTTACCCCGAACACCAAAACCCTAAACAACCTCTACCTCGAGATCACCAATGGCGAATCCTCTCTCCTCACCTCCCCTTCCCTCACCCGCACCGTCAATGTGGCCATCCTCTGCATCAAGAACCCTTGCAGCTCCACTGTATTGGAATCCCAACAGCTCCTCTCTGACGGAACCCTAAGGAGCAGAAACCGCCCTTTCTCCGAGAAGATGACGTCGGGGGAGCCCGTCGAGGATGCGGTGGCCCGCGCGGTTAGGGAGGAGCTGGGGGGAAATGTTAGGGTCAGGGTCATGATGGAGACATACCGGGTGGAGGTCGATGAGGAGGAGTCTGTTTCGTACCCGGGGTTGTCGGCGAGGTATTTGCAGAGAGAGAGAGAGAGAGAGAGAGAGAGAGAGAGAGAGAAAGGGTATTATGGTCTACACATATTTTAATCACTTGGGTTTTGTGTATTGGGGGCTCATGGAATTATCGCTTTACTTTTGGAGGTTTTGCGAGCGTTGAAAAAGTCTTGGGTGAGGACGGAATACTCATATGGAAATTGGGGGCTAGAAGCAATTTCCCCTTAATCTTAACAGAAAAATGTAAGGAAATTTGTATGAGGATATCAAGGTGAACGTGCCAAAGAAAAAACTTTGGGAATATCAAAGCTGTAAGTATTAAAGGGAAAATAAGCCTTGTTTCTTTCTTTACTTCCTTTTTTTCTTTTTTCAGCAGCAAAGTGAGACCTAAGATGACTCTCCGCATCTTCCTTAAAATAGTGGCGCTCGCTCTACTTGAGTACTTCTCCTTCTGCCTGAATACCTTCAATTATTTTATTAATTGATCGACTTGTAATTTCGCTTAATTCAACTTATCTTCATCTATACTAATTGCATTGATTTTGTACTGTATAATTTAATTAGGCCAGTGCTTGATCAGAACTTAAGCTATATGGGAGCCAAAGCAACATCAGCAAGCTTTGTAGCAGCACTTTACAATATACTCCCTGCTCTCACCTTCTTATTAGCCATTTTACTCAGGTAAATTTGCCAGTGTTGGGATTCTATTTATCCTGGCGGAGTTATATACATTCCATATGTATTATTCGAAAATCCCTCTTGGATTATATATGGCAAGCCGAATTAACTTTACAAAACTACCGCAAATTTGGGGATCGATGTTTTGCTTAGAACTGCCATAAAATTTTGTTATTAGAAAAAAAAAATTTATATATGTTCAATAAAGTATCATAGTTAGGATAAGTAGTCATGTGTTTCGACATGACGCGTATTGAACAAATTTTTCCTGGTATACTTTAAACCCTATATATTCAAGTCATTGACATTAGTTAACAAAATTTTCTATAATCCATGGCATTTCTTCTGCACTTTGGAAGTTGGCCGCAGTTTTCTCGAATAAAATTAGTTTATGTTACTTTTTCTTGCAGAACGCCCAAAATCGAGGGTACCTTGTGAAATTAATCCCTAAGATAATATAGACTTTTGATTATTTTTTTATGGATTAGGATGGAGAAAATCAAAATGAAGAGCCTACGTACACAAGCTAAGATTGCGGGAACCCTAATTACTGTGGCTGGTGCACTTCTCATGATACTGTACAAAGGTCCAGTGGTGGACTTTTTGTGGAGCAAGGGCCGGAGCCATCGCATCAATGCAAATGTCGCGAGTCAAGATGAGAGTCATTGGCTCATGGGGACCATCTTGCTTCTTTTGAGTTGCTTATCTTGGTCTTGTTTCTTCGTTTTACAAGTAATTAATTAGCCTAATTCAATTACTTAACTTCTAGTTCCAAATATTCTTTTATGTGTTGAATGTTCTCATCAAGGTCAATGTCACTCCACCAAAGCTCTGTAAGTTGCAGTGAAGATTAAAAGTTTATTATTTTATATTCTAACATATCTCTCTAGGTTGAGCCTCCTTTTTATGAGTCAAAACCTAGAATCAAGTGATATGAATGGAAATTGAATTGAATGTGGGTTGCTTTGATTCCATGTCGAAGATAAAGTTATATATTCTAACAGTTCTAATTGTAATAGGCTTACACACTGAGATCATATCCAGCGGCGTTGTCCCTGACCACCTTGATATGCTCCATGGGCGCCTTGTTGAGTGGTGCAGTAGCGCTTGTAATGGAACACAGTATGCAACCATGGATCATTGGATGGGATTCACGACTCTTGACTGCAGTGTATTCGGTAACTAATTAGTTTGTTTAGTTAAGATACATATTTGATGAACTAATGTAGCCTCAAGAAAATAAGTAACCGATCGATAAATCAATTGCAGGGAGTTATGTGCTCAGGTATAGCTTATTTCGTCGAAGGTATCGTCATGAAGGAGAGAGGTCCAGTCTTTGTCACAGCATTCAGCCCTCTATGCATGATCATAGCTGCTGCTTTGGGCTCAGTATTTTTAGCCGAGAAGATTACACTTGGAAGGTATATATTCAAATATATATCTAACAATTTCAGGCTAATTAACTCTGGTTACCTAAATTCAACGTCTACTAACTCAAATTGTTATATGTATAGGGCGATTGGTGCAGGTATCATAGTCATTGGTCTGTATTTGTTGATATGGGGTAAGAGCAAGGATCACCAGATCCAGTGTGAAGAGAATATTAATAAGAAGAATGTAATCCAGTCACCAGAGGATAATAATGAGAAAATGTTAGGGCTAAAGCTACCGATGACTACTCTAGATGTGGAAATTCCACCAGTGATCGCAAAGGATTGATATACTATGTTTGGTTGCAGAAAAAGGCAAAACCTTTTTTTTTTCCTATGTAAGTAAATAATTAAGTATTGGAAGTATGAAAGGGGGAATTACATTTAAACTTTAGCTTGTTGTTAACTATAGGTAACAACAACAACAAAGCTTTTCTCTCAGTTCTTTGACATCGCCTACATGAGTATTCGTGATACAAGATGTTAATGTTTTGTGGCTATTTATTTATTTATTTCTATCTGTGATGTTGCAATGAACTATTTGTATGAAGTAGGAAAGGATAAAATGATGGAACTGGGATGCAAGCTTACGGGGGGTGAATATGATTACTACAATTTTATGATTAAACACAAAAATTAAATGCAGTGAAAATATAATAAACAAAAAATAAAAAGCAAACTAGCATAGGAATACACGAGATTTTTATAGTGGTTAGAATAGAAATCCTACATCCACTCTTCTTTCTCGCGAATGTTCTTCTTCACTATGACGAGAGTTCACTTGAACCACAACTTGATTCACTACGCTTCAAAGACCGCATCTTAGAATCTACCTTAAAGCAATCGTCTAACCTAACCCGCGTCACAATAACCGGAAGAAACATAGCCCTAGCTAGCCCGACCCTCAATTACCACGACTTGAGTTTGTAGTCAAACCTAGCCCTAGCTAATTCAACTCTAAATTACCATAGCTTGAGTACACCATCAAACTCAAGAGTTTGATATATGACCCCAAAAATAATTAAGCACAAATAAAATAATCTTACAGCCCTTTTGCAAACTGTTCTTCGTGTTGGAATTGAGGTGTAGATCAAACCTCGATTCAGGCGAGAAGCTCGAGGTCGACTCAGGTGAGGTTGATGAGGGCGAATTTGGGGGTGGATGCAACTTGCAGGCGAGGTCGGAGCTTTGGCGAGCTTGAGAGTCCCACGCAGGCGAGTTTGAGACTTCCGCAGGCGAATCAAGCGGGCGAGCTCCTCGAGCGCTACAGGCGAGTTGACGACTTGCAGGCGAAATCGAACACTCGTTTTGGATGCGATCTAGGCTGTCGACAGCCTGTCGACAGATCAGCTAGGGTTTCCCTATAAAAGGGAAACCCTATGGCCGAAGGCAGGTGCTCTTCCTCTCATTCTTCAACTCTCTATGAAGCCTATAAAGATCTTGCCATTTGTGTATTTACTTCCTTAAACTTTATTGTTAATTATAATATCCAACTCCCCTTAAATAGACCTTGATAAAAAGGAAAAAGATACTCAAATTTGAATGCAAATAGGAGATCAAACGGGTGGATGAATAGCTAATATTAAATCCTACAAACTGTCAAATTTTATCATAACCATCGATGATGGATCACGACCATTGATAGTCCCTTGGTTATGACTGATGGTTCAACTGTAGCCATCGATGATGCTGATTCAGGCTTCTAAATTTTTTCAATTGTCTCATGTAACCATCGATGATTTTCTATAACAATCAATGAGTCATTGTAGACCATGATGGTGACAATTCCTAATTCTATTTTTCTCTAATTGACTCATGTAACCATCGATGAGATGTTGATCATTAACGGTTGCCTCTTGACCCTTGATGGTTCAAAGGCTGAAATCAACTTCCGTGCTAATTTTCGTATTGTTTCGAGCTGCATCTTGCTTGTACCTGCTTATACCTAAAACACATCATCTCACAAAACATATTAGCAATAAATGAGAATTTTTATTAGTTTTTTAAGATGAAAACCACCTTAACTTTAAGCAAAATCGATACTTACCACCTTTAGTTTTTATTTTTGACAGAAACAACCTTTACTGACCTACATCCTTTACATGTCACACCTAATCACATTTTCAGCCCAAAAAACACATGAATTGTCCATTTTACCCCTACCTACAGTATGTGCAGAGTACGTGTGCCTTAATTTATTACTAAAATATAGGGTTTTTTCCAATACTAGTCCCTCAATTTTTTTGTATTCTGATATTAGTCCATCATTTCTCTCTCCCCCCACCCTCCATTTCAAGAAAAAAAAACTCCAACCTCAAATCTCCAAACCCTCGCCCAATTCCCAAACCCTAATTCTCATCTTAAACCCTAACCTCACCTTGCCTCAATCATCCCTCTCTTCCTCCTCCGATCTGAGGGGAAAAAACTCCTCAATTCTCTCCTAAACCCTAGCCTCGCCTCCCTTCAATCATGTCTCTCCTTGCTTCCAATTCAAGAAAAATACCCCCTCGAAACCCTAATGAATGAGCAAAAGATCAATGATCTCCGACGAGGACAATGCTCTTCGGTGAAGATGACATCAATTTAGGGGAGTAATTTGAAAATATGATGATTTAGGGGAGTAACATGAAAATATAAAAGATTTAGGGAATTAATATAAGAAAATTGTTTTTTTTTGTCAATGAAATAAATTTTATTCATCACCAAATTTTAAAATAAGAGTGCAACAAGAACTACCGGAATCATATCTGGCAAACAAGGAACTGAAGCTCCACTAACAGTTTACAATTTTGCTATTTCTTCCTTCAAGTTCTCAGGAACATCTTCATTAAGAACTTTTGAGAGTAATGAAATCTTTATTTCCTTGATAAGTTGATCAGGGCTACGGGCTTTTTGTTGAAAAATTCTCTGATTTCTCTCCTTCCATATCCAATACACAGCTCCAGATAACATCATTCTTTTCAGTTTCTTTCTGAATCCAAGCCCCCTCAGATTGTTGCTATACCATCGCAATACCTGATTCCAGCAGCAGGACCTCCACGAATACTTCAGCCATGCCATCAAATTGTTCCATACATAGGAAGAAAACTGGCATTCAAAGAACAAGTGATTTCTAGATTCTTGATGACTTACAGAATCATCACAGAGCACACATTGATTGTTTTCCAATATACCCATGCGACACAACCTATCCTTAGTCAGAAGCTTCGATAGAGTAGCAAGCCATAGAATCATCGAATGCTTGGGGTAATGCAAACCTCCCCAAACTGTTTTCGCCCAGGTTACAGTTGCTAAAGATTGGGAGATGGCATTGTAAACAGATGAAATTTTCATTGTCTCATTATTGTGACAGTTAGCAATGATTCTATGCAGGTTATACACATTCCCAAATCTCCTCAATGTTGAATATCATATCTCTGTGATAGTGTTTTGATGATAACAATTTATATTGTGTGTGCACTAACTTTCATATGCAGATTTCAATATCAGAATCTGTACAAGTGCAAGTGGATATCAAGGCATTTTGAAGTGAAGAAAATGAAGAACAAAAGATAATGTATTTGATTTTTTCTTTACTTAGAATATTTGTACAAGCCTTGATCACACACACGCACACACACACAATTTTAGAACACACTAACACAGGCTTAGTGTGTTGGTTAACTATAGAAATCCCCTATGTTAACCATTAGAATAGTAGTTAAAACTTAATTATAAAAACTCATTATTTCTGAATTTTTGATCTTAATAGTCGACTAATTAGGATAGTAGTCGACTACTCATGTATATAACTCAAATACAAGTTTCTGTCTGTTTACAGTATAGTCGACTAATTAACATTATAGTCGACTACTGAAGAAAATGTCTTTTTTTTTGTCAATGAAATAAATTTTATTCATCACCAAATTTTAAAATAAGAGTGCAACAAGAACTACCGGAATCATATCTGGCAAACAAGGAACTGAAGCTCCACTAACAGTTTACAATTTTGCTATTTCTTCCTTCAAGTTCTCAGGAACATCTTCATTAAGAACTTTTGAGAGTAATGAAATCTTTATTTCCTTGATAAGTTGATCAGGGCTACGGGCTTTTTGTTGAAAAATTCTCTGATTTCTCTCCTTCCATATCCAATACACAGCTCCAGATAACATCATTCTTTTCAGTTTCTTTCTGAATCCAAGCCCCCTCAAATTGTTGCTATACCATCGCAATACCTGATTCCAGCAGCAGGACCTCCACGAATACTTCAGCCATGCCATCAAATTGTTCCATACATAGGAAGAAAACTGGCATTCAAAGAACAAGTGATTTCTAGATTCTTGATGACTTACAGAATCATCACAGAGCACACATTGATTGTTTTCCAATATACCCATGCGACACAACCTATCCTTAGTCAGAAGCTTCGATAGAGTAGCAAGCCATAGAATCATCGAATGCTTGGGGTAATGCAAACCTCCCCAAACTGTTTTCGCCCAGGTTACAGTTGCTAAAGATTGGGAGATGGCATTGTAAACAGATGAAATTTTCATTGTCTCATTATTGTGACAGTTAGCAATGATTCTATGCAGGTTATACACATTCCCAAATCTCCTCAATGTTGAATATCATATCTCTGTGATAGTGTTTTGATGATAACAATTTATATTGTGTGTGCACTAACTTTCATATGCAGATTTCAATATCAGAATCTGTACAAGTGCAAGTGGATATCAAGGCATTTTAAAGTGAAGAAAATGAAGAACAAAAGATAATGTATTTGATTTTTTTTCTTTACTTAGAATATTTGTACAAGTCTTGATCACACACACGCACACACACACAATTTTAGAACACACTAACACAGGCTTAGTGTGTTGGTTAACTATAGAAATCCCCTATGTTAACCATTAAAATAGTAGTTAAAACTTAATTATAAAAACTTCTTTTTACTGAATTTTTGACCTTAGTAGTCGGCTAATTAGAATAGTAGTCGACTACTCATGTATAGAACTCAAATACATGTTTCTGTCAATTTACAGTATAGTCGACTAATAGAGATTATAGTCGACTACTGAGGTGTTTGACAGAAACATAAATTTCTGTATTTTTACAGTATAGTCGACTAATGAACATTATAGTCGACTACTGAACTCAAATTCCAATTTATAAGTTTTTGTCTCTTTACAGTGTAGTCGACTAATGACTACAGTAGTCGACTACTGAAGGAAAATATCAGTTTTCAAGTTTCTGCCAAATTTCAGTGTAGTCGACCAATGAGCATTATAGTCGACTATTGAGAACACTTTCTGAAAACACAGAGTCTGTTTGAACTCAGTGTAGTCGACTAATGACTACAATAGTTGACTACAAGAGACAGTTTTTCAGTTTTCAGAATTTGAATATCTGACAGTTTTTGGCCGTTTTTAAACGTTTTTAAACTTTAAAAACTTGTCTTTTCAAGGGCTATATATAGGTTATTTGTTCAGAAAAATAAAATAAGGATACATACCCATAAGCTTTGATTTCTTGTGCAATTTTCCAAGTGAAAAACATTCTGATTTTCTGAAAAAGAAGAGTTTCTGAAATTGCCTATATACTTTCATCAAAAACAAATCAATTAGGCAATTTTACAGAGATTAAAAGAATCCTAAGCCACTGCTGCACATTATTACACATTCAAGGCTTATAGGATCATTGTGTTCTTCTTCAACAAGTTTTCTCTCGGTTGTGAGAGGGTTAGTCTCTTGGGTTAGAGATTGGTGTTCAAATTGACAAGGAGTTTGTCAATTGGTGTTGCAATTTGCAGGGACTTGCAAATTGGTCAGGTTTGCGTTTGATTTTGTAAGTTTATTCAAAATCATAGTGGAAACTCTCAAGCGGGATTTGCTTGGGGACTGGATGTACACCGGATTGGTGGAACCAGTATAAAATCCTTGTGTTTGTGTTTGCAAATTTCTGAGATTGCCATTTTTCTTTGCAATTTATTATCTACTTTGCAATAATTTTAAAAGAACACTATTCACCCCCCTCTAGTGTTCTAGTGTATCTAATTTAGATCCTACATTTGGTATCAGAGCATGGTGAAAGATGGCATCGTCAAATACATCACAATTCAAGGAAGGCCACTCTACAAATCGTCCTCCAATGTTCGATGGTTTGAACTACAACTATTGGATGTGTCGAATGAAGATATACCTTCAATCAATTGGCTACGAACTTTGGAACGTCGTCGAAACGAAATATGATCGAATGAAGATATACCTTCAATCAATTGGCTACGAACTTTGGAACGTCGTCGAAACGAAATATGAGAAACCAGCTACTCCTTTCGCGGAATGGACTACATCTCAAAGGAACAATGCAAATTTGGATTCAAAAGCAATGAATGCCTTATTTTGTGCACTTGACAAGAATGAGTTCAATAGGGTGTCAACGGCCACATCCGCATATGATATTTGGCACACACTCGAGGTAACTCATGAAGGTACTACTAAAGTTAAAGAGTCTAAAATTTCTGTTCTTGTGCACAGATTTGAATTATTCAAGATGAAGGAAAATGAGACTATTGGAGAAATGTTCACAAGATTCACCGACATCACAAATTCTCTTATTGGTCTTGGAAAAACATATACTCAAGTGGAGATGGTAAGAAAGATACTTCGTTCACTTACTCCACAATGGGAAAAGAAAGTTACCGCTATTGAAGAAGCCAATGATTTGTCAACTCTTACGGTTGAAAATCTTATTGGTAATCTTATGGCATATGAAGTACAACTTGAAGATAGGAAGAATGATGAAGAATCTAAGAACAAGAAAGTTCTTGCATTCAATACTACTTCCGATAAAGAAGATTCAGATGATGATGATGAAGAAATGGGCATGTTTGCACGAAAATTTCGAAAATTCATCAAAAGAGGTAATTTTAAATTTAAAAGTTCAAATTCAAATAACCCTCTTTGTTTTAAGTGTAATAAACCAGGACATATGAAGAAAGATTGTCCAATGTTGAAGAATAAACAAAAATCGAGTTATTTCAACAACTTCAACAATATTCAAAATAACAAGAAAAGGAAAGCAATGACGGTCACTTGGGATGAAAGTAATGAGTCATCCTCAGATGAAGAAATTAAAGAAAAGGAAAGTGCTCACATGTGTTTCATGGCACAAGATGAAGTAAGTGAAAATGAAGAAATTTTAGATGCTTTTAATGAATTATATGAAACTTTTGTAAGATTAAAAACTTCACATAATTTTTTTAAAGGTGAGAATAAAAGATTACTTGAAGAAATTTTCGATTTAAATTCCTCTACTTTTACTAATTCTCAATTAGTTGAATTAAAAGAAGAAAATTTTTCTTTACTTAAAGAAAATGAAAATTTATCTTATGAAAATAAATATTTAAAATCAGAATGTAATAAGTTAAATATTCGAATTAATAGTTTAGATAAAGATATTTCTTCTTTTAAATCAAGATATGAAGATATATGTTTAAATGTAAGTAAATTTAATAAAGGAAAAGAAAATCTTAATAATATTCTTTCTTTTCGAAGATATATGTTTAAATGTAAGTAAATTTAATAAAGGAAAAGAAAATCTTAATAATATTCTTTCTTTTCGAAGAAAATCATAAAAGACAAAAGGATTAGGTTTTCAAATTAATAAAAACAAATCAAAGAATACAATATTTGTAAAACCTTCTTGTTATTTGCATGATTATAAAACTGAAAATTTGTGTAAAAAGAAATCAAAATTCTTTTCTATTTGGGTTCCAAAAGAATTATCTTCTTTACATAAGAATTTTTATATTTCTGATTTTATTAAAAATATTTGTTTATCATCTAACTATTTAAGTAAATCAAACTCTTCATGGGTTTGGTTTCCTAAAGGCTAATTTAAAGGACCCAACATAGTATGGGTACCAAAATGTAAATGTTTATTATTTCAGGTACCCAAGAAAGATAGGTGGATTTTGGATAGTGGTTGCTCCAAACATATGACTGGAAACATTCAATTGTTGTCATCTTTTCAAAACAAGGATGGAGGTACCGTTACTTTTGGAGATAACAACAAAGGAAAAGTCATCGGTATTGGTTCCGTAGGTAATCCAAACAAACCTATCATTGATAATGTTTTATTAGTTAATGGTCTTAAACATAATTTACTAAGTATTAGTCAACTTTGTGATAAAGGTTATAAAATTGTTTTTGAAAAAGAATCATGCTTAATTTATGATATTGATTTAATAACCATTATTTTTAAAGGTTATAGAAAAAATAACATATATGTGTTATCAATGAATAATATTTCAAATGAACATTGTCTTATTGCATCATCTAATGATTCTATTTTATGGCATAAACGTTTTGGACATGTTAACTTTAAACATATGTCTAAGATTTCTAAAAATGATTCAGTAAATGGTTTGCCTAAGATGTCATTTAAAAATAATTTTTGTGATGCATGTCAACAAGGAAAAATGCACAAATCTTCTTTTAAATCTAAAAACATAATATCTACAAATAGACCATTAGAATTAATTCATATAGATCTTTTTGGTCCATCTAGAGTAGCATCTTTAAATGGAAGTAGATATGCATTTGTTCTTGTTGATGATTTTTCTAGATTCACTTGGGTAATTTTTCTTAAACATAAAAATGATGCTTTTAATGAGTTTTCTATATTTTGCAAGAAAATTCAAAATCAAAAATCAACTTCTATTATCTCTATACGTAGTGATCATGGAGGTGAATTTGAAAATGAATTATTTGCAAATTATTGTGATCAACATGGTATATCACACACATTCTCTTTTCCTCGAGCTGCTCCACAAAATGGAGTTGTAGAAAGGAAAAATAGAACCTTACAAGAATGTGCTAGAACCATGTTATGTGATAGTAATTTACCTAAATATTTTTGGGCAGAAGCCGTATCAACAGCATGTTATGTATTAAATAGAGTTTTATTACGACCTATTTTAAAGAAAACATCTTATGAATTATTTTATAACAAAATTCCTAAAGTATCTTACTTTAAAGTTTTTGGTTGTAAATGTTTTATCTTAAATACAAAGGATAACTTAGATAAATTTGATTCAAAATCCGATGAAGGAATTTTTGTTGGATATTCTAATCACAGTAAAGCATATAGAATTTATAACAAAAGAACACAAGTTATTGAAGAATCTTTACATGTTTCTTTTAATGAAAGTTTTTCAAAAATACCTATTATACTAAATAATGATGATGATGTAATTGATACCATACAAGATACTCCTATGATAGATATTACAAAAGATGATAATCTACAAAATGATTTACCTAAAGATTTTGTAGAAGTTAAAAATCATCCACATGATTTAGTTATAGGAAATATATCTGACAAAGTAACTACTAGATCACATTTTAATTTGATTGCTCATAATGCTTTTATTTCAACTATTGAACCTAAAAATATAAAAGAAGCACTTCTTGATGATTCATGGATAATAGCTATGCAAGATGAACTTAATCAATTTACTAGAAATAATGTTTGGGATCTTATACCTAGACCT